TTAATGTAGGGTTGCTCAACATGCCCCAGATGAGCATTTGTTTAGCAAGCTCCTGTTGAAAACAGAGAGGAGGAACAAGTGTCAGATTAAGTCTTAAAATTCTTTCTCTGCATCAGAGCTTAAGCTAAACAATCCTCAACACAAGTCCTTGTTTTACATACCGGACTGCAGCACAGGCTGGAACTGTCCGGCCATGCAGATTTCCTCCTGCTTCTGGCGGACCACTCTCTGGATGGCAGGGGGGAGGCCACGGGGGTTGCGGGAGAAGACTAGAGAATAGCCATCCTCGCAGGTTCCGTCATCCTTCAGGGTGCGGCAGGCATAGGTGATGGCATAGTTGTCATAGTCTGTATCAATGACCCAGTAGTTGTCACCTAGAAGTCAGGAATGAGAAATGAGTCCCAGCTCCACGAAGGAAAGACAGAGTGACAAAGAGAACATGACGAGCAGGCTTACCGCCACTGGACAGGTAACTGGCCAGGCCCTGGTAGTCCATAAACATTTTACCAGGTTTAGAGTCTGACTGTACAGAGAAATAATATCATGCTCTCTGTTGTGTTCTGTAGTGGACCAGGAGGTCAGTGGTCTGTACAGAGTTCGAGCTGTGGACTACTGGGGAAGGCCCGGCGAGTACTCGCTGCCAGAGAGATATTCAGAGGAGCATTAGTCCGAGATCTAGTCTGCTGGCTATTATGTTGTGTTTTCTTATTGTTTTATTTAATGTAAATTTTTGGATTGGTGGATTTTGTATTTAATAAAGCATTGTATGTGGTCAGCTGTAATCATGTGAGTCAAGGTGTGGAATCACTGAATCCTCACCCCACCCCATCATGTTGAGGTCACCTGAGGCAAGGTGTAAGTGAGGTTTGAGACGCTTGGGAAGGGATCTCTAGACTGCATTGTTGGTTTCTAATATCCGGTGTCTGGTCAAAGATGGTGGACACAGATCGTCTCCTTTACTGCTGATAGATTTGTAGCATAAACCTATTCGTTGGAACGTTAAGGACAATTCAACTACACAGCAAAAAGCATTAAACACCAAGTAGGCAAAGTTCTTCGTGTCACTCATGCATGAGGGAGAGAACCA